ATTATGATGTTTATTCCTTATGCAACTCGTCTCATGTCGCATAGATGGAAAATAGTTTATTATTAATGCTTGTCTATGACATGGTACTTTTTCACATCAAGCTTCCTGCCTCAGTGAGAATTTATTGTGGTTACATCGATACTACGTTTTCCGAATGAAATCTTCCAAAGGCGTACACGATTTTAGATGTATAACTTTTGTTTGATGTTTAACGCCACACTCAGCAATAGTAACTTTTGTGAAAAATACGAGCGCAGATGTGGTTATAAGAAAAAGGATTATGTTAAGCTCAAATGTCGGATTCGATCGAATCCTTGGACCAAGGGAGGTAACTCTACACAGTACAGTGGGTAAATCACAGATGCACTTTTGGCTATTTACCGTTGTTGAATGTGACAAGTGAATGGTGTTTTGGGCAACTTGAACGCACGTTCGGCTTTGATGCAGAATACGGAAACATGCCTATAAACAAAATAATGACAAAAAATATTAACTGATGTATCACTTACATCTGACAAGAAATATAAAGAAAACCACCTTAAGTATTCTTGTCTGTCATTTACGAAAGAAAACCACTTTTAACTTCGGGTTTTAGCATATCTGTTTTGACGTTACATTTTAATGTTTTTGAGTAAAGCTCTTTTGACATATTGATGGGCTGCTTATGACTTAAAACAGTAAATTTTCGGGAGATAAACGTTTCTATTGCAGGAGTGGCGTTTATCTTGTATTGCTTCCACATTTTGAAATTTTACTTCAGTCATTATCTTTTTAAAATTTGATCGAGTCTTTTACTTACGTTATATCGAGTGAATGTGAGACATTGTGGTACCTGGCGCCGCAATTAAATGTGGAGCGTTGTATCGAAAATCGAAGCGTCGTGTCCTTCAGCCACAACAGTTTGTTTGTTGTTTAACGCCGCACTCAGCAATATTCCTTCCATATGGCGGCGGTTTGTAAATAATCGAGTCTGGACTAGAACATCAAGTGATCAACAGCATGAGCATCGATCTGCGCAATTGTGAACCGATGACATGTGTCAACCAAGTCAGCGAGCCTGACCACCCGATCCCGTTATTCCCCCTCTTACTACAAGCATGGGTTGTTGAAGTCCTTAGGCACTGTCCTAAACAGCCTCAGTGACGGACATGGAATTTGCAGACATCCGTGATTTAGCTTAAATGTTGCTTGAAACAACATTCGCTCACATAAATTTGATTGATGAAGCGATCAACATCAGCGGAAATAGGTAATAAAGAGCATATGATTTCCATCTTCATATTTCTTAATGTCATGTGCTTTCACGAAATCCTTAACATTTACTGAGTTGGAAATGGGTTTTTGGTAGCTTTTAAGCTGGAATTTAGATGAAATACGGAGAAATTATGATTGAGATAACACTGTTTTTTCGACTGTCTATTAAGGCCTTTAGACTTCAGTAGTAGGAACGGATGAGGCTTATCGACCCTCCATCTAACAGCGCTACGTTTTACTTCGACGTTAGATGTTCTTGTTAAAGTGATAAGTTGTGATGAAATCTGCTCCCAGTAATACACGGTGAAGGAGTGGCTGGATTTCGTGGTATATGGAATGTCCACACGAGGCTAACGTACTATCCAGATATTTGATGTTTTGCTGTTTAACTGATATCCTTTTTTTACAATATCTAGATTCTCAGAAATCATTTCAAACAGGATCAAGGTACATACGTTGCCCAAAGGCCAGGGTCAGCATGTATGTATGTACGTCTGTGTGTGTGTGCGTGTGTGTGTGTGCGTGCGTGCATGCTTGCGTGCGTTCCAGACGTTCATCGCTTCGGTGAAACCTAAGAGCACGAGTAGGGTGTTGACATAGGAATATGATCAGGGTAACCAAGATTCGAACCCACTATCATTCAGCTCATGGCATGCCCAATTGACGCAACTTCCAAAGTGAACACGGGTTAGAATATTGATCTTCAGCAACCCATGCTTGTCGTAAGAGGCGACTAACGGCATCAGTTCGTCAGGCTTGCTGACTTGGTTGACACATGTCATCGAATCACAATTGCGCAGATCGATGCTCATGTTGTTGATCACTTGATGTTCTGGTCAAGACTCGATTATTTACAGACCGCTGCCATATAGCTAGAATACTGAGGAGCGAGGCGTAAAACTAAACTCACTCAGTCACCCACAGTGAACAGGCACACACACCCCACCCTCCAAATAGGAAATAATGGGGATGTAACTCCAGGCGAAGTTATTCGCCATCCGCACGTCCTGGATAACATCTCGCAGATACCTCAGTGTCCATGTCTCCCTGGGTCACCACATTCCTTTTATGTCATTATGTATGTGGACATGTTTTATCGTGCTTTATCTAACGTGACAGATCAGCTGCAAGTTTACATTTCATGCTTTGTAGAAACAATGATCTGGTAGTTTCTCCTGCCGTCCCGTAGGATGTTGATGAAATTGGTTGAAACACGGGTCGTCGTAGCGTGAAATTAGGTCCTGTCGTAATATGTTCCCCTGGGACATCCGACCACTGAGACATGAGGACAGTAGTTAGAACGCACACAAATATTACCACATTGGACACTATGCTTAGCTATACATCAAAATCAAATTCTATATCATAAAATATCAAGTAGGGCAGATCTTTATACGCACCGTTTGTATGCAACTCTACACCTAATAGTAGTGAGTGAGTGAGTTTAGTTTTACGCCGCTCTCAGCAATATTCCTATATGGCGGCGGTCTGTAAATAATCGAGTCTGGACCAAACAATCCAGCGATCAACAGCATGAGCATCGATCTGCGCAATTTGGATACGATGACATGTGTCAACCAAGTCAGCGAGCCTGACCACCCGATCCCGTTAGTCGCATTTTACGATTTCCAAGAACGGTGTGCTCTCCATTGCCTCGGATATTTCACATTATTGTTTTGACATTGTTTATGGGAACATGTACTACTTCCAAGCTTAGAAAGCCTAGTGGTTAAGGTTGTTGCTGTTACTATGGAGAGATGGTCGGATTCCCATATGGTTTCCATGTACCATGTAGTTCGGTTATAACGAACTCAAAGGGATTACGTAGATTTCAGTTCGATATAACCGTAGTTCGTTATGTGCATGGCAGATTCCACTGATGAAGTCATGTGACCCGATGAATGACTAAAGCTGTGCATTGTATCATATGTACATTGTACTATGATTATTCATCTCCAACGTATAGGAAGCCGATACCACGTCAAATGGATCGAGTGTTGGGGTATTTATAATTATATTTATTTATAAGAGAGATATGTCATTGATGCATAATTAATTAGATCACTGTTCCAAAACTTACGGAAACGATTAATTTATCCAGGGTATACAGCATATCTGACAAAAACTGCTTTTGTCAAACATTTACCGTTATTTTTGGAAGCATTTTTAAATCATGACGTTTATTCGTTCCCAGGCCAGTCAACCCGGGTAGAGACGATCCCCGCCAAAGCCCTCTTCCCCAACACCAACTATTACGTCACGTACGAGGGCTCACTCACACAACCCGGATGCTATGAGACGGTCACGTGGGTTATATTCAACAAACCCATATACATTTCAACAGATATGGTAAGCAAGTAAGATTCATTATTTGTTTAATTCAACGGTTACCTGTTTATTTGTCACCTGCATCTTTTGTGACAGTCTTCAGCTTGCGTGTTTAAGATCCGGTTTATTGGCACTCAACGAACCAAAACGCAACTAACGGCATCTGACTGTCAGGCTCGCAGACTTGATAGCTGTTGTCGTATACCAGTTGCAAAGATCGATGTTCTTGACATCTGTTCAGTTCGACAAAAAGAAACAGCTTTTGCCACAACGAAATATGATATGCAACAATAAATATGTTTCTTCCACAATTAAATATTCATTTGAAGATAGATAAGCTGAATGACCTCTACGCAAACCTCAAAAAGTTGACGGGGAGATTTATTCCAGTATTTTGAATTTAGCTGCCGATGATGAGATGATGTGGCATTCTGCTGAGTGTGTATGTCATACTTTGTCCTGGCGAAGAGAGGACAGAATATCAACCACGACCATATCGATATACACTTGACTTTTAACACTGGAGAGGCACGGCCATGTCAACAGACGTTGGTATATTGAGAATGTGAACGGACCGTTCTAAAGAACTTACAGGTCTCCAGTCAGATCTATTGATTTGACATTTAACTGGACAAAATTGACAGGCTCATATGTTCTGAAAATGTCGGATTTATCAATAATATGTTCTTCTTGGTTACCTTCCTCTAGGCAATGGCATAAAGTCTCCCTTAGATTTTTGTTGCTTCCCTTTAACTGTTTTGACTTCACTATTCTGGGAGTGAAGTCTCAGAGAATGAAGTCTCAGGGTCCTCCCGTTTCTCTGAGGCGCCGCAATTAGCTGGGAAGAGTTGCGTCCCTTAGGTATGCCCAGGTGTTATGATCGTGGGACCGAATTCAATGCTTGTCTTGATAATGTTTCTAGGTTTGTCGGACCCAAGGGCGGATTTCACCAGTAATAAATGTTCTACCTCACTTGGAGCTTTTCTTTCACTTCAAGCAGCACGCCGTGATATAACCAACTCTCTGTCAAACTGCCGTTACACAAAACTCGTCCCTCTTTGCCGTTCTGATATTCTGATGCGTTCGGCTCAGCCCAGTCGGATATAACGTCGTTTTAACAGCACCCCAGTTACGTCAGAGTATGTCCGTCCATTGTAAAGGGGTGGGGTCGGGGTCAGCCATTTTCCACGCTCAGACGTTTTGGTAAAACCAACGAGCAAGGGCGTGGCGCTGCCAAAGTAAGAGAGTCTATATCAGGGAATTGAACAGACAAGGTTTCTGGCTACATTGTGGACTACTCCCTCAGAAGCAACTCTGCACAGTTAATTGCGGCGCCTTAGACTACTGGACTAGCATTTGGTACCTACTGATTTCTCAAATTTGAAGTAATTTTTCAAGTGTTGTTTGTTGCAGCTGACGTCATTACGGCGCCTCCAACAAGGTATAAAAGACGACCCAAACAACATCGTGGCCAACAACAACCGCCCCATCATGCCTATAAACAACAGAGTGGTTCGAACCAATATCAACCATCCAGGAACGGTAGGGCAAATGATGTTACAGCACGTTAAAAGTTTGTCCCTTTTAGTTACTAGCGTTTACAAAATTTACTCTGGGCTTGAGGGGGCTGTGTGGTAGCCTTTTTGTTAAAGCGTAGAACCAGATGTGATTCCCCACATGGGTACAGTGTGTGGAGCCCATTTCTGGTGTCCCCCACAGTGATATTGCCTAAATATGACTATACACGGCCTTAAACTAAACTCACTCACTCTAGTCCTGTATTTAGCGTATACGTTTTGGTTAGCATTAACTAAAAGGATCAAACTATGTTTAATATATCGCGTTGGTTCACTCTGTTTCACTGGTTCAAGGTGAAAAGTAAAGTTTTATATTATTAAGTTAACATCACAGTTTAGAATTTTTAGAACTGATGCAAAAATGTTAAGTTGAATATGGAGAATGGAGCTAAGGATATTATTGATAGTTTACTTCATCTTTATTCAAAATGAATACAGTAGGCATCTTTCATCTCATGTCCTAAGGATAGCTGACTATATTACACGAATAGTTTATTAGTTCAAAGGGAGAATGTGGTATCTTGGAATAACATGGAATATGATACTTGTCCATGAACAGCTTTCGCCGATTCCGTACAACTGATCGTTCTGTAGTACTCGATGAATCCTTCTGGAGAAACCCGTTAAGCCAGGTTTTGTGCTATTCTGGAAGACGTCTCAAGATCAGGGAAAACGCAAACAGGCACATAAACTTCTTTCTGCGCAAACGAGGAAAATTGTTCATTTCAAGTATCCTCTAAAACAATATTATCTTCTTGGAATTTTTAATAAGTTTTGTTCAGATTCTTGAAGCCAAATTATATATCCCAACGGGTTTGCAAGACTGATGTAACTTCACAAAGCAATGCAAAACATTTAGATTATAGCGATTTTGAATGTCAGAGTAGCCTTGGCATATTATGAAACAATCATGTTTTGCCCCTACAGATATTTTCAACTGGAAAGTATCTTTTGAACGACATTCCTAGACTAACGCTTAATCTCTGAATGCATAATTTTGATTGTAACAAATAAACCCATTTAAATTGAAAAGGAGTACAAGAACTAGAGAACGAGAATTAGACTTGCTTCCTGTAGGGCTTTAGCACTGAAGGGAGGTCTAGACTGTAGGTAAAATAATATGGTTCAGGGCCTGTGAGACAGACTAGGACATTCTCTGTTAGTCGGACATCATATAGTGATGTAACATTCTGAACTTAGCTTTCCACGTTTTAATCGCAGTCGATTGTGGTTCAGTTCATTGCCCTCAATGGCGCCGGTATTCCTCATTCGGCAGTTAGCAGTATTTACTCACTCACTCACTCACTCGAGTTCGATTCCCCTCGAGTAAGTGAATGTTGTTATAGGCCGCCGTGCTCGGGAATATTGCAACACAATTACGGCGGTAGGTGAGTACAATTATCTGGGTCAGACAAACCCGTGATGGATATCATGAGTAACACCATCAACCGTCACATGGTTCTTAGTGTAACATCACTCACTCACTCACTCTCTCACTCACTCATGACCATTTCAACTCTGGAAGCCTATTTGGATAGAAAAAAATTGTCGATTGTTAGAGTCACGTCTTTCAGAAATTGCAGAAAGCTTTTACCATTTACCTGGCATCACTTTGAACTTCCTTCCTATAAAAAGCTCCAAATACAATGTTGTCCTGCGCGGCGTTAAACTAAATTCCTTCGCACCTGCTTATATCAATTTCGGTAACTACCATAAACCATCGAGGCTCACAAACCATCGCAGATGCCTGTAACACAAGAAGGAGATTTTGATTGAAATATATTTCGTTCACAAATGGAATTTGTTTTTCTTTGGGAGATTCGATTTTCTTTGACGGACATCGATGTCATATTTGATTGAATTATTCTTTATGAGCCAAACCTGTGTGAAAATTTCGATAGCCTGATACATTCAATTGAAGAAACAAATTTCAAGATGACAGCTCTTGTTATATCCTACCCGAGTCGTCCCGTAGTGTAATACATAGTTGCACGAGTTGGGAATTTTCAGTGGGCAAGGTGGCCGCATATTAGAACGTCTGGGTCGCAGAAACATGATTCAAGTTAGAATACTGAGTTGCCCCCCTCAATGCTGCTAGAAGTCGCTGATATGGGGTTTGAGTGAGTATTGTTTTACGCCTCTTTCAGCAATATTCCAGCAATATGAAGGCTTCACACACTGTACCCGTGTGGGGAATCGAACCCGGGGCTTCGACGGGTGACGAGTGGACGCTTTAACCACTAGGCTTCCTTTCTCCCCTAAATAGGGGTTTGAATCTAGACTTGATCATTTATTTGGGGTGTGGTGAACAAATTCCAATTGCGCACTCATATCATTGATATCTCATAATTCGCTGAACAGAGTTGCTTCCCTTATCTCTGACAAGATGAATTGATAATGGGTTTCAATCCCTAATGCGCCCTGATAATTATCATTGGTGTGTGGTTACATCTATGATCGTTTATCTTTGGGTCTTGGTCCAACATCAGTTGAGTGAGTCCATATTGTTTCTTGCTCTCATCAGCACTATTCAGATATGCCAAGGCAGCTTTCAAAGAATCGATTCTGGGCAAGACACACCTATGGATGCCTATGTACTGAGAACCCAACTCACGCACTTTGCCCATCTATATATCGATGGAGACTTGGAACTTCGAACATACACGTATTGATCTGAAACCAAACAAACCAAAAGAAAACCGAGAACACTGCCATTTCTGACAGTTAGTGTTTCGTGTGCAACGAAACAAGGACCATGGAACAAGTGTTTCCGGTGGCGCGAGACTGTGCACGTGGAGTTCGTGCTCTCCGTGTATTCGTCAATGTGTCACGTGGATTGGCGGCATACCTTCAGCACTGTTGTGATCGACTGCACGTGTTATGCAGATCTGGGGGTTCAGGTCAGGTCGAAACCGTTTACCGGACAACTAATGTTTGTTACCTCTTGTGGCATAAAGCTACTTGTTTCATTCAAGTATTAAAATGACTGTTTTTCTTCTTTTCAGAGCACAAGCAACATATGTGGGATGACACGATACACGTTTTATCAAAGTGAGTGTTATTTATTTTGGAACGTTTGTTTTTTCGCACATTCGGGTTTGTTTGCAGATTGTTTTAATGCCACAATCAGCAGTATTACAGTTGTATGTTGTCAGTGATCAAGTCTGGAACAGGCAGTCCAGTGACTGACATCATGAGCATCGATCCCCGTACCTGGGATTCAAGGACAAGCATAATCCAAGTCAGCAAGCCAGACCACCCCGTCAGTCTACACAAGCATGGGTTGCTGAAGACCAGTTACAAGACGGATCTTCACGATACTGTTAATCAGTGACTGTTAATATTTTGTCACCACATGTTTTCAATGTCGTCAGTTACTGCCTTAGGACCTTTGAAGATCCGAGCTAGATTTGGTCTTCACCAACCCTGCTTGTCCTTAAAGGAGACTAATGGGATCAGGTGGTCAGGCTCGTTGACTTTGTTGACACATGTCATCGTATCCCGATTGTGTTGAACAATGTTCATGTTATTTACAGACTGTCGCCATATAGCTGGTATATTGCTGAGTGCGGTGTTGCAGAACAAACAAAATACTCCCAAAGATTAACCTAATATAACGCTTGAAACTTCCCTGTCTGGTTCTGGTTAGGGAGTTTTACCAGCGTTAATAAGATTGGGTCTTTAGGCCCAGCATCGAAGTCATTAACAATTGGTTACATTTGAAAACATGTATAAATTTAAGAACTCTTTGTGATACCATACTGAGTCGACAAGTAAAATTACAGACTGTATAAACTCAGTTTTAACCTGACCCCCTTCTGTGTTCCAGTAAACCCGTCCCTTGATGTCTGACGGAAGACCAGGATGCAGTATGACCGTGCTGGCGCCACACTTCAACATTGTAACATAATGTATGCATGTCGCGTTTTCTGTCATATTTATATATTTTTGTACAAATGTAGAGTTGTAATAAAGAACAAAAATTAGAAATGTATGAAGGAGTTGTTTTGTTTCCCCAGCTACAGAGTCCATGTGCATGTACATATAAGCAGAGTATGGACTTAAAGCCACAACTTTTGGCTCGGTTAACCAATTCCTTTTCCGTAATCACACCTACCCCAACCAAATGTCACCTTTTTGAAAATATCTCTGAACATATTCAGCAGAAGTCATTGTGTTAAAGGAGATATGTCTAAATATTGAAAATATAGTCATTGTTAAGTAGTGGATGGATGAACGTTTGCAGAAAAACAAAATTCGTACAAAAAATCACCCAATCACAGCTGTCACATGATTCTGTCTGCACTGAAGGCTCCCTACGAAAGGTGCTTGTTAAACTACGGGATCTGATTTGGTGTGGTGGAAACTGTAACTGAAATAATGTTCAAAGCGGTTTTAAACCTGATTCACTCGCTCACACATTAACATTTCCTGCGATTTTAATGTTAAAACACACAAAATTCACCCACTGTGAACAATGAATGTTATTCGACTGATTCATCACAAAGCACACTTGTGGGCAATTTTCATTTGAAGCTCAATCCCCAAATGAGCTGGTTAAGGCATCGTCATCATCATCATCGTCATCATCATCATCATCATCGTCGTCGTCATCGTCATCGTCATCGTCATCATCAAGGACCATGAGTTTGTCAAGGTAGAAGTGTATGCTTTTAAAACAACACACCTGTGTATTCTGTTTGACAGGACACCCAAGAGAACAAACATCTACCTGATAATGATAATCTGTGAAGACAGACATAAGATTCTATTGCAGATTTCTCAAGCCGAAGCTGAAGTTTTGGCAGAGCTGTGACGTCAGGTGATACGTGCACGATTTAGAAAGGTTTCCCTGTTCTTGGGAAGAAGCCTTTGTGTTTTGTGTAGTTATTTAACGCCGTAACCAGCAATATTCCAGGTATTAGACGACGGGCTGTATCAATAATCGAATATGGACCAGACAATCAAATAATGAACATCATGAGCATCTAACTACGTAATAGACGAAGTCAGCGAGCCGGACCATCCGATCCCGTTAGTCGCCTCTTACGACAAGCATGTGTTGCTGAAGACCTATTCAACCCGGGTCTTCGCGAGCCCTTATAAAATACGCCATGTTTCCCAGCTTTTCTTTCTCAGGTTTTACTGACCAGAAACGATATCAATCCTCTTTTTTTTCTCAAATCCGACAAGCACTCCAAGTACATCAAATTTATATTAAACCCGAATTTCATCCGATCAATGTTACCTAGTGCCACATACGTTGCAGTGGTTTCTCACATCCGGGGGCGCAGCTTGGTAGATCTAGAACACCGCTGCCTGGCGTTCAGTAATACTGAAAGATATTATCTTATACATTTTGGCTTAAACAACGTATGAATTTGTCTTAAGGCATTGCTCAACAATTCTTTTATTTTACAAGTCACTGCATAATACCATAATATATTGATTTGGGGATTGTCATCAGTGTTTCTCAACTTTAAAAATGCCCCAGCTGAAGGTATTAACTTACAGACTGGGAAATAAACTTTACCTCTCAGCTGATTTGGTCATGTGCTTTGTGTTCAGTTGAGAACATCTTAAGTTAGCGATATTACGTAAAATATTACAAGCACTGACATGTAGCCAGCATTCCAGTTGATTCTATTCTTTTTTAAATAGAATTTGATGTGAAACTTTGAAAAATAAAAAGCTAGTGGAATACACATCTTTTGAAAAGTTTTGAAAATCGATAAATCTTATCTGAAACAAACCCTGGTAGGAGCCAAATGGTTGCAGATGTATTTCTTACTCAGGTTTTCATTGAACCAATTTATTTTTACACGAAATTGCCAAACCACAGATGACTTTTTACAAATTGCCTCATAAATGAATTACGTCTAAATAGAATACATAATCAATTTCAAAAACAGTTTTTCGAGTTTCAATTAGATAACAAAACAAACTCGGGACACTTTGTTTTTCGTTTCAGTATATGATTACTACAACTCAGTGTACGGATCTTCCTTTATCGCCTGGAACATATTTCCTTGAAAGTCAGGGCAAATTTAGAACAGCAAAATTTAATATTATATTAAATGTTGCTTAGCTTATCATTTGAAGTATACCCATAGATATGTAGATGTTAACATTCAAAATTGATTTTATTGAAATATTGACTATGATCGGAAGGATTGTTATAGATCCTGTTGTCTAGATACAGTCAAATTAGGAGATTGCGGTGGTTTATTGGTTTAAGCGTTCGCTCGTCGCGCCGATGGTTCGGGTTCGATTCCCAGCTAAAACGTATAAAGCCAATGTGATGTGTCGATCGCCGTGATATTGCCTGACTACTGCTAAAAGTGGCGATGGTACTATATAAACGATCTCGTACCTGTTCTGTTTCATTTGGGTGACGGGTAGCCAAGTGGTTAAAGTGTTCATACGCCACACCAAAGCCCCGGTTCAATTCTCCGGACGGAGTGGTAGCAAAGTTAACAAAACAAATCATGAAGAAACATGAACGACTAACAATAAGGTTTATCAAAGAGGTGTTATTTCACATTAGAAAGAGTTCCCATATTCTACATGTATTTGGCTAGCCAGCATCTTTGACAAAAAGAAACCCGCCTGTATTTTTGACGTAGTCTTTCGTAGATTTTACATGAAAAGATTCCAAGATGATATTTCAGTGTCAGTTTCACTTGAAGTCTTTCTTTAACATATCCCAATCACGTACGCCGCTTTTTACCAGCAGAATAAATACAATTTATCAAGATGGCAAACTGCAGACTCATCTGTTAAATTTCTTGCTACGAAATCTGGCACTCAATATAAATGTCTGGGAAAACATAGTTTGATTAACTGTATATGTTTAAAGAACATGGCGACATTTGGCAGCGAAAGGGTCATTTTGACATTTTGAGTGTTGAACTGTTTAAACGTGACAGACGTGATAGATCAGGGACACATATAAAGACTAAATTGTAGGTTTGATATGTTTCTATGTGGGTGCGTTACGTCGAACTACCTGTGAAGATCCGGGTTGCAATTGGCCTTCAGTAACCCATGCTTGTCGTAAGAGGCGACTAACAGGATGGGGTGGTCAGGATCGCTGACTTGGTTGAAACATGTCATCGTATCACAGTTGCGCAGAACGATGCTCATGATGTCAGTTAGTGGGTTGTTTTGTCCTGACTCGATTATTTACAAACCACCGCCACGTCGCTGGAATATTGCTGAGTGCAGCGTTAAACAACAAAGAAACAAGCAAACAAACAAACAAATCTGAGAGCGGCTTTTCAACAAACAAAATTTCCTACATGAACGATAATGTCTTAGCCACAGGTATCTCTTATTATTAACGTTAAACGCCGCGATCAAGATTATTGCACTTACATAAAAGACGTGCTTGCACGTGTGCCAGTGTGGCTGCTTGCTTCAAGTTGCCAGTTAATGAGTACAAGCATACTTAGATACTATTGCAGCGGCCACAGATGAGATTACAAAGCGTTTTTTATATTCAACATTATTGAAAAAATGGTGATCTCCAACCTGAATGATACAGTTGTGAAATCACTAGTTTTCATACTGAAACTGACATCCATAAAATTATTAAATGCTACTTTTGAAATTCCAAACTCATCATAAGTCGACACGATGTATTAAGCTTAATATGTTTACCTACGTTTTCTATATATATTCTACGTATTATATAATATTTGTGAGAAATCCACTCGTACAGGCAATCAGAGAGTGAATACACATTTAGTCTGGGCAAATCTGTCTAATGCCGAAAATGTCAATATCACTTAAACTTATTGTTCCAGAATGCCCTTCGGGCATACTTATATTAAATATTGATATGTTGTCGATGATGATGACGATGGTGATGATCACTATGCTGCTGCTGCTACTGCTGCTGCTGCTGATGATGATGATGACGACGATGATATGATGAGGATGACAATGAACCAATACGTGCTTCCACAAACTGAACATGGCGTCCACTTCGGCCATATTGAAAATGCGGTTCCCTCTATTCTTCAGCTATTTATAAAATTTGATAGGTGGTATGTTTCGTGAGTAGCACTACGTCATACCAATTTTAAATAGACATATAATACTGTAATATGTAATAAATACCAACTTGTGTTTTGGTTGTCTGAAATATTATTCCACAGAAATTCAGGTGAGCTACAGTGCTTGCGGCTTTATTTTTGTTGGGATGTTAAACCATCGGACAAATGTTGGGATGTTAAACCAATTAAATCTTCTTTCCCGTCGGCTTTTACATCCAGCACAGGGGACCAATCTACATGGGGGATTTTACAAATAGGGCTAATGCACTTAAAGTGCATCTGTACTTCTGCGAATTAACCATTACATCTGCTTCTTCAGACTGCAAAAACAAATATTGAAACATCACGGTTCTGAATAGTGAAATGCGAACGACATGCATTTGAAATATGTTGTGAAACAGTAATTTGATTTCAAAACTGATTTGATTATTCAGAATTTAAACGTTTTTGCAGTGTGTTACATGTCGGCCTGTATAGCAATGGCTAAGGGGCTGAAACATGGGGAGTATTGTGAGTATGTTCAGATCTGAGCACTTAGGTCTCGTCTGAGTGAGTGAGTTAAAATTTAATGTCACATCGGCAATGTTTCAGCTATATCTTAACGAGACAAACTTGTACACACAAAACAAACATATTTAGTCTGGATAACAGAACAGAGGGCAGGTGGTGTATCAATGTGGATAAAGCGTTTGCTCGTTACGCTGAAGGCCTGGGTTCGATTCCCCACATTGGTGCATTGTGTGAAGCCCATTTCTGGTGTCCCCCGCAGTGATATTGCTGGAATATTGCTAAAAGTGGCGTAAAACCCATCTCACTCACTCGAAGAACCGTGTAGTAACTAGATAATCATATATATTTAAAACAAGTTTTGAGAGAATTATAAATAAACTATCAGTTCACAATACAATACGGAAAGGGGCTAGAGATCGCAAGCAACCAAAGTTAGGTCACCTTGATGGGGACCGTGCGGGACTCTCCTCTGAGCTGCAATGGAGTGTGAAAGAGGGTCACATGTGTTAGGTTGTACGTACATATATTTATCCTCAATGCCATTTTGTCCCCAAAACAGCGATGCACCTCCCGCCTCACTTCAATTACATCAATTAACCATGTTTACTTCAAGTTTAATTTCGTTCTCATCATTGAAACAAAAGTCAGATTTCCACATTTCATTATCCAGTCAGAAGCAGAGGCCATTTGCCAAATACTGCCGATGTGACTTAAAATCGGAACTCACTCACTCACTTTAAAAAAGTAAAAGCTTACAGGAATACACTCGCAGTGTAACGGCCGTCTGTGAAGAAAAGAAACAACCAAGTGAATAATGGACCAGAAAATCTAGTTGTTGATTTTGAAATACGACTGATGTGTAGACGTGCAGAGATTCCGGAACCAAATCATTATGTGCTATAATGCAGTGGGAGATATATATTGCCCTGTGGCGACCGGACACTTGTGGCAATGTGATTTGAAACCTCTGATTTCGAAGGCCAAGTTCTTTGTGGCTCTCATGATAGTTTACTGCGTGTTCCTATATTTATTTCCTTGAGTATATACGCGATTAGCTGTAATACGTTTACAGCCAGGCCAAGTATGTTGCAGAATTTCTGTAACCTCAGCGTGACTTGACAAGTTAAACTATTTTGGATTATACGTGTTATATGAGACAAACTTGTTTTTTATCAAAGCATGATATCGTCGGTTGGACAATAGTAGACCTTGTTACAGTAAGTGAGTGTTGTTTTACACCATACATTCCTGCTCCGCCATATAACTGGAATATTGCTGAATGCGGCGTAAAACTAAACTCACATTGCTGCTATTCTTGAAACACTAAAGTAGGATCCGAGGACATCCTATCACACCAATCTTTGACCTACCATTGACTGTCTCGAACTTTACGGGACAAATTTCAGGGTAGGTGGGGAAGCATAGTGGTTAAGCCGTTCGCTCGTTACGCCGAAGACCCGGGTTCGATTCCATTTTCGGGTGTCCACCGCACTGGCATTGCTGGAATATTGCTAAAAAAACATGTAAAAGCATACCCACTCACTCTCTGTTTCACAAGTTTGAAACTAGCGACCTCCATAATGATTCCAGGCTTGAAAGATATTTTGACAGATTTCTCGATGTTCACTCACTCACAATCAACAGCATGGTTAAATGTTAGAAAGGTTATTGTACATACCGTTAAATGACCTTCATAACACTCACGTCTTTTTTTCAATTTTGAAACAAAAATCCATCAGAAACGTTTCCATATAACAAAAACTGGTCTCCAATTGCGTCGTCATCTTAAAACGTATTTTAAATGTATCTACACTTACAGCAGCAGGATTCCGATTAAAGGTGAAGTCTGTCTCTGGTTCAGTTACATTATCCTTCAAGACCTCGAATATAATAGAAACTAACTGAATTAAAAAAAACGCAATTGTCTGTCAATCATTTTTAAAGTCAACGTTATCAAATTACTCATCAGCTGAGAAGTTCTTCTGTCAATGACAGTGACATTCATAGACGCAACACGTGCTGTCCGCCTGACTTGTAGATTTCACCGGGGTTCATGAATGAGTGAGTGAGTAAGTGAGTTTAGTTTTACGCCTCACTCAGCAATATTCCAGCTTTACGACTTTTCTGTAAATAATGAGTCTGGACCAGACAATCCAGGGATCAACAGCATGAGCATCGATCTACACAATTGGGATATGAAGACAGTATATGGGATATTGGGTCAGCGAGTCTGACCCCCCCTGGTAGTTCGCTATCCCTTTGGTAGCCATAGCTTGAAAAGTACAGGAGTCTTGTGTGTTATATTCTTGCAACTTACATTTTCAGATTCAACTCGTAGCTTACAACACTGATATCTACTCCTCCTTCCGAGAGGCTCTACAAGCCCCGTACGGCATAGCTATCGTGTCTGTGTTCGCAGAGGTATGTAAAATATCAATATTCACCGTCATTTGAAACCTCTGTTGATGTCATCTATTGTTTTCGGAAGTTGATATTCATATGACTCTACTAATGCATATGGTTCTGCTCATCACTCCTCTCAGTCATGCTTTCCACCCCTCAGGTCTTGCTACCCTTCCCCTCAGGTCTTGCTGTCCCTCCCCTCAGTCTTGCTTTCTTCCCCTCATGTCCTTCTTTCCCTCAAATCAGGTCTTGCTTTCCCTACCATCAGGTCTTGCTTTCCCTCCCATCAGGTCTTGCTTTACCTCAAATCAGGTCTTGCTTTCCCTCAAATCAGGACTTGCTTTCCCTTAAATCAGGTCTTGCTTTCCATCAAATCAGGTCTTCCTTTCCCTCAAATCAGTTCTTGCTTTCCCTTCCATCAGGACTTGCTTTCCCTCAAATCAGGTCTTGCTTTCCCTGAGCTCCCATCATGTCTTGCTTTCCCTCCCATCATGTCTTGCGTTACCTCAAATCAGGTCTTACCTTCCCTCAAATCAGGTCTTACTTTCACTTGGCTCGGGTCTTGCTTTTGCTCGGTCTTGTGCTCTCTGTCATCGAGGAGCTTACTGTTCCTCCTGTCGACTCCTCCGTTATCTCTCTTCTCTCTCCTCGAGTTTTACCATTTCAAGCAAAGTCACAGAATCGCGCTATATCATACACACAACTATGTATGTGGCTGACATTCACGGTTCATGTTTTATGTAACAAAACCGAGGCCTACAATGTTTATGCCCTTTGGGAATCCACATTGGAGTGCTCCCCCGCAAGCTATGCTTGAAACTGGCAACTTAACGAATCCGAGGATGAGCCTCGGAGGCTGGGTCCATTGCATGTCACCATAGCTCAAACGCATGGGGCATTGCTCTTGATATCAGAGGTCTATCTGGCCAGCTTCGTACATTTACAAGCCGCCGTCATTTAGCTGGAAAATTGCTGAGTGTGGCGTTAAACAACAAAGTTCCGTACAAACGTCACATCCTATCTATTTTACCATTTAAGCTTGCACACAATTCCTCCAATTTGTTTGGACAGCTGTTTTCATCATCCTGCTGTTTGGATTGGACTCAAAGCGACGCTGTTGCTGCGAATATTACAGCTAATTGGTCTGGGGTTGGGCATTCGTCAAACAAGAATCGAGATGTAAAATGGTAGCCATATGAAGAAGCCATTCATCAGATCTAAACATTAATTCAGTTATGTTTTTCCTGTGTTGTTCTGTTCCCTCTCGGTGATGCAGGAAACCGCTACACAGCACGCAACAGTTTCAAATATCGCTGATTCTTTTCCCTGCTCGAACCCCGTGGCAGATACATCTGTCACTGTAGAGCGTCCACTACGCAAGCCCACATATCACAACACCGAACCATTACTGTAACAATAGCGGGCTCCTCGAGACAATAGCCAGACGTTATAACTTATAATGCAACGGGTCATGGACTGGAAACCTCCACTGGACGTCATCAACTCGACAATTGATGGCGCGTGGAGATAAATGTCTCAGCCAAACGCTGCAGCAATGACAACCCCTCTCTCCAGCTTCATCCCTAAAACGATATGAACAGTAACCTCTCCCCCGTCACCCCCTCATTACCCGTGCTTGCGTGGGGAGACGGAGATCACCCAAGATGACTCTTAAATCTGTCACAGCAATCCAGAGTTATCTTTAATCAATGTCCTTGATTTCTCGCAGATTGGTCAGCCCGTGAACGAAGCCTTCCTTTAAAACCATGGCAACCTTTGCGCACGGAGCTATTGTGGAAAGGTAAATCCCATTTTTTCATCTAAATGATCATTACTGTTCTCTACTAAAAAGTAATCGGTCTTTCGACTGCTGAACTGTATAAACTAACTTTCGTGACGTTCCTCCTCGTTTGGTGGTGCGTTGGGACGTATTTGTTTAGGTATACCAGGGTATTGGGTAAGTAGAGGAACCTGTGTAAAGTGTCGGGGAACGAAGTTCACTGTTATATTGGATTTAGGGGTATACCAAGGTAATAAGTAGAGTAAACATGTCTAAATGTTAGGGAACGGTTTAGTGTTATATTGGATTTCGGGGTTTACTCAAGGCGATAAATGGAGGAACATGTCTTACTGTTTAGTGTTGGATTTGATTTGGGTATACTGAAGGTAATAAGTAGATGAATATGTGTAAATGTTGGGGAACGGTTTAGTGTTATATTGAATTTAGGGTATACTCAAGGTTATATGTAGAAGGACATGTGAAAATATCGGGGAACGGTTTTGTGTTGGGTTGCTGGTCAATGCCGGCAACTCTTTGATCTTGACTGGGATCCTGTCTACCAAAAAAAGAGCAGGCAATGGTCAATTACTAGATGGCGATGACTGCGCTGACACTAAACAGTCCTTGGTCCACAGTACAGAATGAAAGCAAATAGTCGACTACTTGAAGCGTGTTTGTAAAGTGAAGCTGCTCTGGCCCAAATTGTATATCAACAGAACAGGCTGTTATCGCTTGAGTGTAGGTATATCCCCGTGTTTGTTCATTCACATTGGTACTGGTACTGCTTGCGCACCTATACCGTGATGTGGAACTGTGATTCTTTGAGAGATTCTTGTGTTGTCTCGTGTGTGGGTGATAGCGTAAATCGTCCTGCACAAATGAAACATCGAACGATATTAGGTTGTAACGCAACTAGTCTTCTCATCATCGGAAACACGACGGGTATTGTTGGCACAGTGCACGAGGGTACCAAGTTTCGGGTGGGGATGAGGGTGTGTGTGAACGTGAACGTGGGTTTGGCCTTGTGGGTCTGACTTTGATATAGGGGAACCTTTAGGTTATCTGGAAGGCTTTGGGTGAGGTTTAGAGCAAGGGAAACTTTTGATCGTAATCAATGGATGTTGGGTGTCATACAAGGAGAAGCTCCTTTTCATTATCTTTTGTCATGTGATGTGAGAACAGAGTTATTTAGCAATGCAAGGGTGCTTACTGGTTATTAAGTAAGGATACGGTTTCTTCCATACTGAGGACTCTTGATTGTCAGGAACAATGCGGGCTTACGTTTGGCCAATAACGGTGGGGGAAAGTATTATGTTCCAGCAACGATACCGACATTCCTGCTGACATGTTTAGGCACCGTTCCACAAAGCCATCTTTAGCGAGGATTGTCGTATGTTTCCCTTTGTGAGATTTCGATTGTTTGTTTGTTTGTTGTTTAACGCCGAACTTCAGCAATATTCCAGCTGTATTTAAATAATCGAGTCAGATTTACCATCGTTTCAGCGGTTAGATAGTTTTGTGGAACGGCACAGTCTATGGCTGAACTATTGCCGATTTGACGCTTTAATTTTAACTAATAATTACAGAATATCATTTGAGCGAAAAGAATAGGTGGATTTATTTGTTTTAGTTTTTTCATTGTTCGAGCTGCCCAAACTAGACCCTTTGATGTGAGAGCAAATCCTGCAGTGATTCCGTCCTGGACGTTTGCCGCTTTGGTGAATTCCCCTGATCACTGGCGCACAGGTACAGACAAACCTACAAACATTATCAGGTCTAACTTTTAATTCAGCTCCGCCCAATGATCACAGGTGGTTCCTAGAATGCCTAAGGACGTAACTCTGCACAGTGAGTTATAGCGTTGAAGACCATCGGGTCAGTGGCGCCCACATGGTCATAAAACGAAAGTTCTGTTTTGATCGGAATTCTAGGTTCTGATGATGCCGACACACACAAATTGATAAAGATTATTCACAGATGTGGAACTGTTTAAGGTTGTCGGGAACTTAAATTGAGCGAAAAAAAAGGTTGACTATTGTCAGATGAAGTATAAATAACAATTGATGCTGGCAATTCTCAAAATACAGTCTGTTTGATCGTTCTGGTGAACGATTTTCATCAAGAACGTTTTAATGATTACGTCTGAGTAGAACAGCTTGAAAGAGGTGAGTGTGTTTATGAGTGTATTTGTGTTTTCTCTGATCTTGAGACGTCCTTCAGAATGGCACCTAATGCTATAAACCTCGCTTATCGGGTTTCTCAACAAGGATTCATGAAGTAACACACACGAAAAGTAAAATCTCGACTAAGACAAAAACTATTCATGATAAATTATGATGTTTAATGTCATTATTCATTCAAAGATGTCAGATTTTCCCCTTGAACTAATATGGAACTATTCATGTGAATAATGGTCACCTTGAATGTAACTATATTTGGTCAGCGGCCTTGAACAACATTCACTCGCTTGGGGTGAACCATACCTGAGTGAGTGAGTTAGGGAATACTGCCGCATAATCAATACTGCAGCCATTGATGTGCAGTCGAATGTGATGAGAAAACAGAAGGTCCAGCTCCAACTTCAATCTGTAACATCACATTATCACGTTTGACAAAACAGATCAACAACTAGTTTCTGTATGAACTTACCTGTCATGCTTTTTCTGAAAGTCGCTATACATGTTTGACGATGATATTTGCAAGTTAAATACTGGAACATGACACGTCAAGGATGTAAGAAGCCATTAAAGCGATTGCGTCAACTCTCTTGCCTATAAAGTTCAGATAGACAGAAAATATGCATTTGTAAAATCGTCGTTTGTTATAAATAGCCCGTACCTAACCCATTAAAGATCAGCAAGACCCGTGAAAACCCGGGTTTAGAATTGGTCTACAGCTACCCATGCTTGTCGTGAAGAGGCGACTAACGGGATCGAGGTGGTTAGGCTCTCGCTGTCTTGTCTGACACATGTCATAGTATCCCATTTGCGTAGAATCGATGCTCATGCTGTTGATCACTAGATTGTCTGGTCCAGGCTCGATTATTTATTTAATAATACATAGTTAATGGTCAAGAGCCATAGCCCGGGCGAAGGCCAAGGGGACGTTAAGTATCACAGAGGGCTCATAACACTGCGTAAATATAACATCAGTAAACTGTCAAATGTCCTTAGGCCCTTTCTGCATAATTGATTTACTATCCAGCCTATGCTTTTCACGCATCCGTATCTTAGAAGAC